CTGCATGCTTCCTCCTTCTCGGAGAACCCCTGCCGTAGTACTTTAGGTTTTAGGGTCTAGGATGTAGATTCAGGGTTAGCGAGATATGACATGGATGATTGTCAAAAGTCAAATCCTACAAAAGGCTACAATACAACCCTCCCTTCCCCAATAGCTAAGGATAACAAGTTTAAACTTTATTCTAGAGACCCCCAAAAAAGCCCAAAAAGGTTAAAGTTCTTCTACAGACTAAGTAAGCTTCTAAAGCAGAATTATGCACAAGATCCCGGTAGTCGCCCTAAGCTCAACCCAGATCCCCGGGATGATCTAGAAAGTAGAACCCCCAACTTGGTATCCTATACTACTATTGGGTAACTTCTAAGAACCCTCAAGGGGGATCTACTTTCTAGATCACAGCACTCTGGGAATGGGCAACTATCCTACGGGCATAACCAGAAACCTTGCTGCCACATTTGCACAGCTTGCGTCCTAATATACGGTAGTTTCCCTACATAGGGAAGCCCAATGAAGACTCCCTAAAATACTAGATTCCTTACCCTAAACCCTAAACCCTATCCCCAGCCCCCCCACCAACATCACTGAGAGCCTGAGCCTCATGCAATTGAAGCTGGAGCGGGAGAGGACCACAGACTTCACGCCCAGCATTACGGCACTCCTGCCACAATAATGGGTTCTTGTTGAAATACAAGCAAAAACGATATCTTTATTGATATTGGGCCCAGGTATCCATACAAATGTAAGAATTTGTTGTACAAGAGCCCAGAATAGTACAAGGCACAATGATGGAGCAGAAATGAAAAAGAGGATGGTAAAATATGGGGGACGAGGCTGTCCATGCACCCTGTAACTCAAGTTTGCTGTTCAACCATACAGTACAAGTCAAACACCTAAGATGATAATGAATGGGCGGCTCACTTTTAATTTGCCCAATGCCCAGACATGTGACATACGTCAAAAGCTGCAACAGTTCTGCAAAAACGGACGCCAAATGAAACCTGGTCATGCTAACTGATCCTGAGCGAAGGCCTACCTTTAGCTCTTACTGGGAGTGGATAAGGATAACATTTGAGGGCGAAAAAAGTATAAGGACTCTTATCAGGATCCACTTCCCTCCTTCGGCACCAATACGTAATCACGTCATACTGAGACTAATATCAGAACCCCCCACCCCTAACATGAAATATGTCCCCCAACATAGAAGGTCTTTTTATGGGGAATTCGAATATTGTTTGAATCTTAGGGGGTGGACGGGGTGGTTTAATATTAGTATGAAGGGCACCTTTGCCCTTGAGCACCCTACATCAACCCTGTACCATCCCAGACAAAACCTGTACTATCCCTACGAAAACCGCATGGAATCCCGGTACATCCTATATAAGGCATTATATACGAAATACGCCCCATATAATCCCTACAACAACGCACATGGTACCCTAGATAATCCCGAAATTAACCCGACGTAGATCATCCCTACAAAAATAATGACACAGGATCCAACCGTAAACCCTCATCCCTTCCGATCCTGACTGCCTGCCCAAGGTTCCAAGCAGACCTGACTAACAAGGAGGGTTTAAGATTTAGGGTTTACGGTTCAAAGTCTACCCTACGTGGGAGGGCTTAGGGTTGCGGATGCTCAAAATGGGGATATGCGGCTATAGGGTTCAGGGTTTAGAGTTGCGCACGGGTTTGACTGGTGGAGGATCAAAAAGACAAGAACATTGAAGATATGATGCACACTGGGATTACTGTACATTGTGGTGTTTAAGCATTAGGGTCCCAAAAATTAAGCCCCCTTTTGGAGAGTACAAATTGTTCTGAAGATTGAAGCATTTTGGGGTCAACATTTGGGCCCATCAATATGGAAACACTCATGAAAAAAAAAGGGAGCGCGTGGAGGTTGTAATCCGAGCCGCTGTCTTCAAAAGACTTCAGGAGTAAGTCTGGTATGCCGCACACGGTGACTTGTAGCTTCTTGCTTCAAAAGCGGACATCTGGCAGCAAGCTCATGGAGAGAAAAACTGAGATCCGGACACAAGGCCATCAAGCACCAGAAAGGGTGGCTTCATGTCTTGTAGCTCTTTGGACCTGATTAAAGATTTCGTGGTTACTTGTTCCGAGAGGTCCATGTAGCTATACAGTACAAACTTGGACCCCAAAGCAGTCATATGGAAACCTTTTTTTACACTTTATATACCTACGTTGACCCCCCTCTCCCGCAATAGTGGTATTATGGAAATTTATATAGAACCTGAATATAATCACCATTATCCCTTATAGTGGGGGAGTCCACCCAGTATACACCTACATGGACCCTTCGGGTGTAGAATTTTGTCACCATGTTTGGTGGTTTCTGAAATAGCGGGAACCCCAACATAGACCGCTAAATAATATACTCCTTATCATAGGGACCCCCAAACAGGTACTCTAACTTCGGGACACCCCTAAACCCTAAACCCGATATAATATTTAATCCCTATATCCCCTTTAAAGGGAACCCTATAACCGTAACCCTAATATGATCCCAAAATACAAGCCCTAAGTCATAAAAATCCCTATATACATATCCTCCATATACCCCTATATTACTACTCCCTATAACCCTTTTAAAGATACGCCTGGTTGGGGAAACCATACTTAGGGGCTTCTGCCTCGGCCATGCGATTGCATAGCGCACAGGCTCTCCCCAGGAAAGATCCTCCAAAGATGCGTAAGGAGGTTTAGGGTGGGTTTAAGGTTTAGGGTTTTGGGGTTTAGGGTTTAGGGGTTGGGGGTTTAGGGTTTAGGGGTTTAGGGTTTCAGGGTTGAGGGTCCACCCAGTAACAGTCTATATTAGGGGTCCTATCAAGGGCTATATATAACCATATTATAATTTTTGTCCAATTGTTACTGAGGGGGGCCAGTACCCAAGTAAGGAGGCTAGTCGAAGGTTGAAACCATGGGCCCCTAGCATGGGCCTTTAATCTGGGATCCCCTTATGCCTAGAATATACCCTATATGTACCCTCAAGGGTCCCCAGAATCCCCCTAAGAGGGTTAAGGGCCCATACTAGCAGCCCATATTTGAAACCTTAGAGTTGGGACGGAGTGGGGTCAGGGCTCGTTTAGAGTTTAGGGTTTGTAGGGCGTTTAAGGTTTCGGGCTGAGGCTTTTGTAAGATGTTTAGGGGTTGTAAAAGGGTGTAAGACGCAACAATGAAGAATCAAACGGGAAAAGAACATGGAACATGAAATGGACACTGAGCGCATATCAGTCTTGTATATACAGGGATTGTGCAATGTAGAAGCCTGAAGAATTGCCACCTTCATGTTTGAGGTACGCCATACCCCAACTATACAAGGAACCTGGGGCTATGTTATTTGTATATATTCAGGCCCCTATAGTATGGAATGCTGTTTGCATTGTATGACTTATGCTCCCTCCATCATACCCCAAGCCCGTCCATGCAGAAGTCTTCCAACAGCATGGTTGGCAGCTCATACACAGGGCAATCGGCTGATCTGGAAACCTGCCATGCCAAGAGACAAAGCCAATCAATGCAGCACGCCCGCTTCCGCACCTTCTCCGCCAGCATCCGCAAATCTGCAGATGCATCTGGCGTTTTGTGTCGCAGCATGTCTGAATGGTCCAAAGCCACTCTTCCTGCAGGCGCCTTTGGGCAGAACAATGGAAGCAACAGCCGCGGCTGCTGCATCAGCACCTGTAGCAGTCACAGCGCCTCACCCATGCATCCTTTAAACACGAGGCACAACCTGGAAGGGCAAGCTGCTCCAGGCAGACGTAATTGTAATGCCTCAGCAAATGTCAGGCAAATACAAGTCAACATCCAATTGTGCAGATGCTTGTGGGATCCGTCGCTGCCACCAGGATGCACAGCTGCCATTGCTGGAAGACGATTCAGCCGCGGCTTGGACGGGGCGCTCGAAGCCTGGAGAACACATACGCAGTTTTAAAATCTAAGTTGCTTGCACTCGCTTGCATGATCAGAGATCGCCCACGTCACCAAAACATCCGGAGCATGCGGACATGAAAATAAACACCAATCTTGGTACACTGACTCACGAACTCGACTGCGTTTCGTTCACTGCATGGGCCAGAGCTGTAAGGCCAGAGCTGCCACTCGTTTTTTTCCATGTTGAAAGGCTACCACGTGCCTTCTGGGTGAGACGCTGTCATATATGCTCGAAAGCTAGATGTTGAGGAACCATAGATATGAGACCTACGGCAGCTCATTCTCCGCAAGCTTCAGCCGGCTTTGCCTCTGCTTCACCATGGCGGCACGCTCCAAATTGTCCTTCACCAGGTTCTTGGCTGGCAATAGGAGTGGGTTGTTCTGCTCCAATGAGGGCAACACCCGGATGATATGCTGGATGCCTTTGCTGTACGCATTGAAAGCGTCCACGAGTCGTCCACGACTCTCGGCTTGCCGTGCCGATCTGACCAAGGCCTCACCCTTCGCCAGCCGCTGGGTGCAGCTGTCTGAAAGCTGCTGACCCGTTGCACGGCGCTTGGCTGGGCCGCCGTCAACTTGCTGCGCAGGCCTTTTCTGGCCTTCTGCAAGGACATGCTTGGGAAACCTGTGGCCATCTGCAAGTGATTCAATTGTCATCGCGAACGACTGCTGGATAACTTCGCGTTGTTCTTCGCCCTTTGCCTTGGGCTTCCTCATTGGAAAGGAAACGGTGGCGCCGCTCCCAACATCCATATCCACATCTTTTGTTAACTTTTGCGGCTGCGGCTCCCCTTGCATGCGCACACCGCTGCCGTTCATGGACAAGTCGCGTAACACCACATGGAAAGGTCCCTGAGGGACGGGGTTCGGAAGCTTCATCTCAAGGTGGTTCCATGAGATCCCCGACAACGTGCACACCACATCGGATTTGGGGGCGCGTCCCACAGAGATGGACTCCTTTGCTCCAGGCGCAAGTTCGAACTGCATCGGCGGCCGTTTTGAGGCGGCATCGAACGCCAAGGAAACTAACAAGCCAGGTCCAGCCATGCTGGGACGCTGGGACACACGCCCGTCTACACACCAGCAGTGCTGCTTGAGCCACACGCTGACAACGCAAGCTCCTTGCACTCGGTATGGGTCAGCTACTTCCTGCGCATCGGCAACATAGGGTTATGCCGGAGTTTAAGTGTATTGTGATTATAAGAACTATCGGAATTATATACATGTGGGGGCTATAGGAATCCTACGGCTGAGCAGGCTGACTGGTGTGTTGAACCATGATTTGCAACATGGCCTCCTGGACGCCACTGGAGGCAAGTGCCCGCAACTGCTTCTGGTAAGTGCCTCGGCTTGACAACAGCGACATGCGAGGCGCATTCAGGGTATCTTGTCGGTGCTCTTGCAAGAAACTTCATGCGTGTGATGTCATGCGCTGGCTTACGAATCTAAACGTCTAAAATTAAGCTAATGCTGTGCGTCGCACCCCAATCACGTTCGGCTTGGGAACGGTAAAGCGCCTCAAGGAAAACAGCGCTGACGAGACAATGGTTACACACATCGCTAGCAGCAAAAACCATGACACGAATTGTGATAATATATCCAGGTCAAACGTACAAAGCCCGGTCTTCGTACAGAAGGTGTATGTAATTGAAGTTGGAGACATCCTCTTCATCACCTACTGGGCAGAAGCCATCTGCACAGGACGCGATTATTATGGAGGCGTCACAAGAACACCGCTGATACATGTGGCCTCTGTACGAAAAAATTGTTTCCAAACACGCCACCCTCCAATTCCGTACTCTGATCCAAATTCCAGGACTTCAACGCAATCTGTTGATTATACATTCCAATCAACCCTCACATCCACAAAAAATGTGCATACACCCTGAAAGCTGAAGCCTGTGGTGGGCTAGGAGCTTCAACGTATCGGATCGTTCTAAAGCATTTGAGTACCGCGAGCCGCGGGGAGCCTCCAGATGAAATCGCGCGAAGTTTGTGATATGACTGGTGCGAACAATTCTTACCTGCCGACACTTGCCATGTTGCGCAAGTACCACACAAACGAACCCATAATCCCTTCCCCTAATATTAACCGTCTCCCCCCAAATTAACTAGGTAAATATTCCCGCCCGTTCTTAATACAGGGGGAGTATTTATTGCACGACCCGAACATTAGGCGGGGGAAGGAGAATCTTATTAAAATCGTACAAAATTCAGTTAAGTCGAATAGGGCCTTAATATGCCTTAATAGGGACTATTTCAAATTAGGGACTTATTCCGGACCCTGCCTTATTAGGGACTGTTTCAAATTACGGCCTTATTAAAGACAATTTCCAACTACGGCCTTTTTAAGGACTATTTCCAATTAGGGCCTTCGTAGGGACTATTTCAAATTGGGGCCGTATTAGGGACTATTTCAAATTAGGGCCTTATTAACGATTATTTCCAACTAGGGCCTTATTAGCGACTAGTTCAAATTAGGACCTTGTTAGGGCCTAGTTCAAATTAGGACCTTATTAGTGACTATTCCAGGATAGGGTCTCATCCGTGCCTATTCCAAATTAGGGCCTTATCAGGCAAGGGCCTTATCAGGCACTAGGGCCTATTTTAAGTCAGGGGCTTTTCAAGGACGATTTCAAATTAGAACGTTATGGGGGGATTTTGTCAAACTAGGGTCTTATTAAGGACTATTTCAAATTAGGGCCTGATTAAGGATTATTTCAAATTAGGGCCATAATATGGACTGTTTCAAACCAGGGTCTTATTAGGGACTATTCCAAATTAGGGGCCTTAACAGGGACTAGTTCAGATTAGGGCCTTGGAATTTGTTGCTGGAATTGTTCCGTATATAGATTTTTTTTTATCAACAAGAAGGAAGTCGAAAAACAATCAAAATCTAGGAAATCAAAGAGATCCCTAATCTTTAGGGTTTTATAAGTCTACCAAAAAACCACCCGAATTCAAACGATCCGAAACGCAATAAACTTTAGTCTTGAGTCTTGGCCCTTTTAAGAAATAGTCTTGGGGGCCGGCTTCAGGATTTGGAGGTTGGCGAACCCGTATTCAGTATTGGGGGGGGGTTTAATATTAGGCGGAAGCGATTTCTTTGTATAGCCAGACCACATATTAAAAAAAAATCATGAGCTCAGAAGAGGACGGGCCACGAACTAAATTCAATTCGCACGGAAAATTAAACAACTCTCCAAGTTGTCAAGGTGCAGCTGAGGCTGGAACCAAACGTGGATCACGAGCATCATGCACGATGTCAAAGGCCTCGCATCGTTTGCATCAGCCCGTTGATAGCAGCAACGCACAAACAATGCCCCGCTTGCCTTTGCTTCGCAACTTCCACGCAAAAACACTCCTTTTCGAAGTGCGCGTTGCGTTTTTCCAGCCTGGAAAATTGCTACTCCATGCAAACTTTGCAAATTCAAACATGGTGTGCAGAAAAGGGCCCGGCCGCTAGAAGTGCGAAAGTGCTTGGCCAACAGTTGGGCAAATCCGGCTGTCCGCGGCAGGCCTGGGCCGGTGCATGAACACTGTGTTGCTGTCGCCGCTCGCATGGGGAGGGCAGCCTTTGCTGGTGCAATTTGTTGTTTATGATGCCACGGTGCCTTTCCCAGAATATGAGGTTGGTAGGTCTAGGATGGCTATGGGTTGCATAATATGAGCACAAGCTGTTACAGGGACCTTGGCCCATTCAAAGTGTCAATGGATTTCCCGCTTTCTGCACCTTGCGGGCACCAGCCCCATATCGGGGTCGTCCACTATTGGCGTTGCACCGATACAGCCATGTAGCTAACAGCAAACATGCGGGATGGTCAGGTCGCAATAACCTATTTCCAGCCCCTAACCACCCACAGCCATGCGCATTTTACATATTATTATTCGCCTTGGCCCTGAAAAGTGGCGTCCAGAGGTTCGCGGCCCCTCCACCTACCCACTCTTGTTGCATTTTGCGGAGGTCTTTGGTGGTCTTGCCGCGGCTGGGCTCGAAATCTGCCGCTTAGGGCTACCCGTTTTTTGCACCAGCTTTGCTTGCCATATCCCAGGGCAAGGCCATGGTTGCGCACGATTGCTGAAATGGAGGCTCCAACCGTATAATCCGCCACGCGACCGATGGTCACCCCACCCTGCGTCGCCTGTTGGGGCCGAGACTGGTTGCAAACACGTCCAGACAGCTGCCGATTCCTCACCTGTACACTGCAGCAAGGCACCGCTTGCCCTTGGTCTTTTGTAACCGTGTGGGTTGGTGCACCCTCAACCTTCCCGCGTTAAAATGACTGACCCACCCTTGCCTATTCTAAACGTCCTCCCCTCTGCAATCATTCCTGGCCTTCTCTGGATGGCCCACCCCCTTTTCCCAATTTCTGCGAAACTGCCCCCCGAAAGCGTGGTTTGGGTGGACACTAAACACTAAAGCGGGGCAACACAATTCTTGCAAAACAGCCTCACCCGCCACCCTTCCTTGCAATTGCACCTTGCCAACCTCTCAGCCTCATCCAGAAAATTAACCCCCCACGTTGCGATCATCTCTACCCTAAGCCCCCGCCTTTGCAATCACTTCCGACCTTCTCTGGCTGAGCACACCCCCCAGCCATTTCTTACCCGACCAACCCCCTTGCCTCAGCTGGAGCATGTGGGCTTTGGTGACCACAGCCGACCCCTCCCTTTCAGTCATTTAATGAACATGCCCGAGCTCCCCTATGTGGGCCCAAGAAGGACCCCCCCCAGGCAGGAAAATACAAGACGCCTGCAAGACCGCAACGTTTTAATTGTTTTTTTTTTTTTTTGGCGCGACTTTTTCCGCCTGCGTCACAAAATTTGGTCCCCAGCAACTACCCCCCTTT